ATAAAAAATATACATATACACACAAACACACGATATATAATATACATACATACATTATATATGTGTGTGTGTGTGTATATATGTGTGTGTGGTGTGTATTTGTATATATTTGTATATACATATATATATATATATATATATATATATATATATATATATATATATATATGTATGTGTGTGTGTGTGTTTGTATATACATATATATATATATATATGTATATACATATATATATATGTATATACATAAATATATATGTATATACATATATCTATATGTATATACATATATATATATATATATATATATATATATATATATATACATATGTATATACATTTATATATGTATGTACGTATGTATGTATACACACACACATATATATATACATATGTACACACACACACACATATATACATATATATGTGTGCACACGCACACACATACACACATATGTATGAATATGTATATACATATTTGTTATTCTATCAGCAACACACACACGCACATATATATATATATATATATATATATATATATATATATATACATACACACATACATACATATATATATATATACACAAGCACACAAGTATGCATATGTATAATTTTTTTTTCTATCAGCCTTTATTCACTAAAGGACGGAAAGAAGAAGAGAAATAGGGGAAATGAGAGATGGGAGAGGAGGGAGAGGAAGTTGGGAAAGAGAGAGAGAGAGAGAGAGAGAGAGAGAGAGAGAGAGAGAGAGAGAGAGAGAGAGGAGAGAGAGAGAGAGAGAGAGAGAGGAGAGAAAAAAAGAAAGAGAGAAGAGAGTAGAGGGTGCGAGAGAGAGACGAGAGAGATAGGAGATGGGAAAGAAAGAAAAGCGAAGAGAGCGAGGTATGAGAGAGGAGATCGCGAATGGGCGACGTAGAGAGCGAGCGCGAGAGCCTTCGATGATCTCTCGCTATCTACACCCCTATCCACACTGCACTCCCTCAGCTCGGATGCTGAGCAATCTCTAGAGTGCGCTAGGTCGCAGCTTCTCTCTTTCTCTGTAGATTATCGATCTCTAGCAACAAATGTTGCTTCATCCCTGAATTTCCAGTTTTCTCTTGCAGACTCGTCCTTTAGCATTCTGCTGGTGTTAGTCATTCAGAGATCTTTTCATTAGGCATTCCGAATATTTAGATAATATTGTTAGGACTCTCCGCCGCGGATAAGGATTACAGTGGATATGAAAATGGTTGAAACTGGCTAAGAAATGTGTATTAAATGTACTGCTGAATTTGTGGGTGATGAGGTGGGTATGCATGAGTGTAGGACTCTCCAGTCAAGTGGACGGAGGAATCGAAGGAAGTCTCCCTAGGAAAAAACAATAGACGCCCATGCCCGGTGGTGACTTGTGTGTATGGGGAGCTGGGGGAGGGGAAATGCAGAAATTGTTGGTGCATGTGTGTTATGGGTATAGGTCAATGGTTTTTTATGGGTAAAATTAATGAATTGTATTTTTATTCCTCGTTTCTGTTAAAACCTAAAAGCACAAAAGAGCACACCATCGACTCATGGTGGATCAGAATCTAATACTCTTTTTCTATTTAAAGTTTTAATAAACCCTTTGTTTTAACAGATTTTGAGATGTCGTTTTAAATCAAACAGTCTTTTAAGGGGGAAAACGGCATTTATTAAGAGGGTAAACAAACCGCCATCTCTTAACATTACGCGACCTTCACCTGGTTTGACCCTAGATCACTCATTTTTTTACTCATGGCTTGCTGGGAGGGTTATATATAGATCCCGAATGGCCAGGCCAGGGGGCGTTTTTGGAGCATCTTTTAGCCGGGAGCGTTGTCCCCTGGTTGTGAGTTTACGTAGTAAAAGGCGGTAAATGGCATCTTTTTACTTTTTTTTTTTCCGCTCTTTTTAATGGTTGATGTTCTCTTGTTTTATCTTTGGCTGTTCAGATCTTCATCCTTTTAGAGTTCATTTACTTTTTTTCGCATTATTTTAATGTTCATGTTTTCTCTTTTCTAATCTTTTTACCATTTCACATTTACGGTTTGAAAGTTTAGGGTTCTTTTTTAAACGTCAGTTTTGTCTTGAACTTTTATGCCCACCTTTTTGGAATATGGGGAGGGTGATTCTCCATTTTTTAATTGTCCTGAACTAAAAGATTTATAATTTTGAATAAATTTTTGTGTGAAATGTAATTTACTGTTTTTTTAGATCCATTATGTTTCCCCTCCGTGGTCAAGTATTGACAGTAAAATAGATTTAACTTCTTGATACCATAGTCCTGCACAATCGTCACGCACTCCATCTCGGGCCTATTCACGCTAACCAGTGTTTGGACCCTCAACTTCGTACTTTCTTACACACTTACACTTGCTTTCTTTTACTAACTTACCTTCCACTCTTCTACAATGCCTCTCACTTTCCGAACATGACACATACGTTCCTGACGAAATTAACCAGGTGGTGGCAGCCCAAATATTTCGTACAAGGGTCGAAGTTAACGTTGTAGATCACACACATTCCTATAATTATATATATGCACGCAAATACGCGTGTGTGTGTATGTATATGTGTATATATATATAAATACACATATACATATATATATACATGTGTGTGTATATATATATATATATATATATATATATATATATAT